AAGAATTTCAAATTCGGCAGAAATTCTGCATAACCTCCTTAAATAGCGCCGCTGAACACTAAAACACACGTGGACAGGGACACGTCCCGCACAGCGTGTAATTAATTCAACACTTTCACAAAGTACAAGAAGCATTCCTGGACAGCCCTGAGAAACGAAGTATCGAGGAAGCAGATAAACACATATATTATCATTAATAAATCTTGTGATTGTGTAACGTGACGTATCTGGAACAGTAACAAAAGACTAGCGCGATGGGAGAAAAACAAAGGTTCTCTCACTTGGTTCCGTGTCAAGGTGGCACTACTGGGATACAGGCAGATGGACACGCGTCCTGGCACAATAAGTTGGTAGCACTCGTCGACATTAGATTATTAACTGTTACTGCGCATTCAACAATCTATGATGAGCCACGCACAAATCATGGGGGGGGTTTTGTTGGCAAGATGATGAACAGCATTTCTTGGCTAACTGAGCGACTATCAGCATTTCAATTAAGATCTTAAACAAAGGAATAAGTTTGTTATAATTACGACGCAGATCGAAACATAAATAAGCATAACAAAGTCGATATCGATTTGAACCAACACACAAAGATCGATTAATTAATAAATTATTTTACGATATGAAGGCTACTATGAAACATAAATGGAATAAATTCTGGTAAGTGACCTCTTTACCTTGAAGTTTCATGCGTCAAATTCCATTTGCAGGGCAAATTCTCCTTTTTCGTGTCTGATTTTCAATGTCTCCCAGGGACATTTATTTTATATGCTTAAGGCTTTGACCGGGATGTTCTTTTGTTAAATCTTATGTGGTACCGCCTGATTCGACTTCTAATGGTTAAGTGAAGTGTTTTCTTCGCGGTACGGTCTGGATTCGTAAATATTATGAAGACGAGCTTCGGCTTCAAAGGGTTAACCAGCTGATTTTCGTAATGGTGAGGTGAAGTGTTTTCTTCGCGGTACGGTCTGGATTCGTAAATATTATGAAGACGAGCTTCGGCTTCAAAGGGTTAAATAACGTTTTGCTGTGGATGCTAAGAACAATTATTCGGAACAGAGAATCAGCATGTCCTTATTTCGTCTGTAATTGAAGGTACAGTGATTTTTAGTCAGCGCAACCGTGAAGAGACGTCAGTGCGCACAGAAATACCGCACTGGAACAGCGAGTGTTTATGATCAAAAGTGGCGCGAAAACTTGTTTTCCGAGAAGAAGAAGAAGAAGAGAAGATTCTGGTCTAGAGTTCGAGAAGTTTCGTTTTCACACGGAAGAACTATTTGCAGAGTTGTTCATAAAATTAAGACGGGGTTCTTACTGGGCAAAAGCCCGAAACGAAACACCGAGAGCTCACTGAAGATGAATAATTTTGTTTAAATTGGTGCTAGGCTCGAACGCACACGTCGGAAACCCGACGGGGATCACGAAGTTGAAACCGAAGCTTGAGATTCGTCAACACAAACATCTGGCTGAGGGTGTGTTCGTGGTGGTGAGATCGACCGTTTACCTTCTGGTAATGTTGATGCTGAGAGAATGTGTGCGACCTTTAACATCAGAACGAGCATCGAAACAGTTTGTGATAAGTTATATTGCAGTCATGAATGTCTCTCCGTCGACTCCCGGTAGCGATCCGTCCAGGTGAATCTTAGGAGGTCCGCTCTTCAGACTGTCTTCGACTCGAAATGAAATTCTGGTTCCTGAGTCAGTAAGGCGTCTTCCAAGAGGCCTCTGCCGTCATTTAACCCAGAACGGGCTTTTAGCAACTTGCAGCTCGCTCCAGTCGTCGCTTGAATTAAGCTCTGATAATCTGGATCTGAAATCGGTCTTGCCAACTTGAGGGACTTGGCGATATCGTGCTCAATTTCTCGTGTTTGAAAGTTGGCAAGAACACACCACACTAGAAAGTGTGTGAGACAGGGCGAACTAGGGTTTTGTACCTGCGAGTACCACGGCCGACAGGTATTCTGCATGCGCATTTTTATTTAAATGTTGCGTGATGTTTCTCAACCTTACAGTGTTATGTCACCTGTGGAATCTGCATTTCGAGACTCTCAAACAACACTGAGATTACCACAATCTGCCTCTAATATGTATATACAGATCTGTATGACCTTGACTCCATTTTGAACAGGGTCCCACAGGGGCTTCATTGGGTTCTCGGTTCCAAAATTATGGTGCTTCACGTCGTCTGTGTGTTTTTCGTGGCGTCGTGAGCAGCTGGGGTTTTTTTTTTTACACAGACGCCCGCAGTTCGTGCGCTCAGTCGCGGGCGACGACTTCAGTTCCGTCCACTAATTACAACTTCCCCGCTTAATGAGAAAAGATCAGACGGCAGTCTGAATACACGCAAGTGATTGAATTGTCGTCGTGACTCGGCAGTGAAACAAAATAAATATTTGCTTGTTTACCGGACCAGTACGCAAGGTCTGCTCGCCAGAGATCGACCAGCGTTCACTGTCGCTTCAATGCCAAATGCATTGCAGCTCTGGTCACCAATGTTTCCAGCATTTTCTCTGCGAAATTT